TATATATATATATAATCATTCTTTTTTTACGCATATTCACTAATTTTTTCATTGGATGCTAAATACTTATATTTATCGTAAAGAACCGTTCTTCTTTTTTGTATAATGATATGATAATTCAAAATGGATTAACATACATGCAAATATATGGAAATATCGTTACTGGAAAATTTTTTAAGACAATCAGTTTACCATCATCAATAGCAAACAACTTTGTAAATATGGTACTGATATGAGAAAGATATAGAAATAAAAAATACGGGATAGGCGAAATAGTCTGACATTTAAATAACAATGTACTTTATTGCAAGTATTTCATACAATCATTATTCCCAAATCCGAAAATCTTTTAAAATTTCCGAGACTTTCCATTGTTTTAATGTTTAACATTGCTGTCCTACACACAAATATCTTTTATAAGTATGTGCACGTTACTTAAACGTTATAAATACGAACACCAAGTAAAAAGTAAAATTGGGCACCTTTTTATTTTCCAAGCTTTAATACGACCACTGATAACTAAAAGTTCAAGGCATACTTTAGAACCTTTCCTTATCCTCGATAGTTAAATTACTCTTATTGGTCGGATCGGACTCAATAATCAGTTGAATTCAGTAATGAAAAATATCTACAAATAAAAACATCGAGGAATTAACATTTTCCATGGTATCATTAGCTATAACAAAGCATTCGAAGAACTGGCTTACAACAAAACTTGAACTTTGATCGCATGTACTGTTTCGTATTTCCCACAAGCGGTGTCTAATTTTTCTTTGTATAACGTTTCCCATCTTTGCTTTATTATCCGATTAACATTTTTGTGTTATTCGTGTTTTTTTTCTTTCCTATATACTTTTCACTTGTTACGTGTAAAATATCAGTTCATTTGGATTCGTAGATATAAATTCATTCATCTGAACTGTTAAACAAAAGCGTGTGGTAATTAGTACATATTTATCAGATGGAAAATTACAAAAATCTTTATCTATAGATTGACGAGACAGATTTAATCGCATAGCACTATCGAGTGTCATTTTACACAGGTAATTTTTGAAATCGACGCTGGATATATTGGTCTCTGTATACTATCCGTTTCATTTTAACTTGCTGTTTGTGTTCGAGAATGTACACAGTACGAGAAGTATGAGATCTCGGCTTTAAGAATTACTTAGAATAATATTCTAGCAAATTAACAACTGCAAGAATAGTTCTTTAAGTCGAGAAAAAGCAGATAAGCAGGTAAAAAGAAGAAAAGAAAAAAAATGGTAAAAATAAAAATATAGAAAAATATCGATAAAAAGAAATATTAATATCTTCAATAGTGATTTATTAGTTAGGCCAACGGATATTAGAAATGTAATAAATTACCAAACGACCGAAACGAAAAAGTGGGATAATGTAATCGAGCACGTGTTGAAACAGTATTTACATAAAATGAGAAGTGACGTTCGCAACGAAAAACCTTGCGCGAACGTGTTTAATTTTCAATGACGTAAAACCCGATAGTATATAAATAGTAAATTTCAATTCGTAATCACCTGTTTCGAAGTTTAGCTTCTCGTTTACTTTCCAGTCATCATCACCATCATCCTCATCATTATCATATTCATCCTCATCCTCATCCTCAACCTCATCACCATTATTCACCATCAACATCCTCATCATCACTATCATCATATAATCACCACTATCACCTCCACCACTACCATCATCATCATAATCACCATAACTCATCATCATCATCATCATCATCATCATCATCATCATCATCATCATCATCATCAAGTTCATTCATAGATTGGACGGTAACCTGTTATGTAACTCACAAAATGCTTCCACTCGGTGTGATTCCGAGCGATGGAACCACTCACTCATTCCCTTCTCTCCTTCTTGTGCTTTGACACAGTAGTAACATGTGAAATTAAGAATACACGTGTATAGACTGGTCCAAGTGGTCAAGACTGGATCTTCAGAACCATGTGATGCAATAGAACATTTTTATCTCTTAACAGGTTCTTCAACGTTTCAAATATTCTCCATTGGAATGTTCCTCCACCAATATTTCAACTACTCTCTGTTGGTATGTTCCTCCAGCAACTCATCATTGGAATCTTCCTTTCACTACCGATGCAATTTTATTCGTCCAAGTACAAGAATTCATAAATTTTTACTGGCATTGGAAGAACAATCCAATATTATATATAAATCTGAGAACACCTTTGGTATATCTTAAAAGATAAAAGTCTCTATTGCGTTGTGATAATGCGATTACGTATAATCTGAACTTTTGTAAGTGCTTAATCATTGAATGTAGCTAAAATATGCTGACAATAAACATCTCGTCGGTAATAATATTTTCTTCGTATTTATAATATAGCTTAAAGCTCGCTTTCTAAACGTTGAAAATTGTTAAGAGATACAATAAACCATGGATAACGCAGCGCACACAGTGTGCTCCCAATCTTATGATTCTTATTTAGACCAAAGTATCTGTTAAAAATCGACGTTTACAGTTACCTGAGTGGTTCCAGTAGTCTGGACCATCTTGTAATAGGCAACAACATACATTAGCATTCAAGTATAGAAAGGAACACAAGCCTGAAATAAATTCGTGTGTGAATATAATCGTTGAGCGCATAAAAGAAAGTTTCTTGGTTCTTTCGTTGATACATTGTTACTCCCAGATAAAACAAACAATTTCTGGCATATCATTCTTTTTCCTTTTTTTCTTCTTCTTCCCTTTCTTTTTTTCTTTTCTTTTCTTTTCTTTTCTTTTCTTTCTCCTTTTCCTTTCTTTTTTCCTTTTCTTTTTTTCTCTTTTTCCCCCTTTGAACGAAGAGAGGTAGCTTGAAGAACGGGATTAAATGAAACGCTTCCTGATCCGAGCAATATCACAGATACATAAGAAATTACATAAAACAGTTGTACATAATACATACAAATGTATATAATAATTTCTAGGATTATGCGATATTGATGAACCATAGAAACAGGTAGTTAACGAGTGATCTAGCGAAGGAGTTTGAAAAGTGTGTAAATAAACTATTGCCAGTGTATCAGTTTTTAATCATCCTGTAATGAACTTACGTAATAAGAATTAATCTCTGCCACCTATCAAAATAACATTCTCACATGACAAAACTTTGATGTTACTCGGTCGCCACCACACTCAACATCTCATTTAAAACGCAATCTCGATTATTAATTTACAATAGAGAACTGTCTACAACAAAACTCGTAAACGTTTACGAACGACATTAATGCTCCTTACGTATTATTTACACAATTGTCATAGATCATTTCCAAATCGTATCGCAAGGCAACTTTTGAGCAACAACAGTTGGATCCAACCGATTCATAAATACACGATGAAGAATTACTTCGCAATGATGGCTCTATGGAATAATTGTTTTCGTTCTTCAAAAGACAATGCGTATTATTAACTGTACGAATAATTTGTTTGACGCTCGATAGAAAAATTAAACGATATTCTCATGGTGATAGCGAACGATTTGAAATAGATCGACTGGCTATAATAATGAGCTAGAAACGGTTCTAATGTCTGTTAAAAGTTGTCTTAAACTACAGTCTTTGTATATCGATTATCATTTACAGCAGGGCGTCAATAAATAAACCTCGACGCATTTTCCATCAATGTTCTCTTTACATTATGTATAAACATTCTGGATTTCAATAAAGATATATATATATCTATATATGTATATATATATTCATATATATATATATTTATCTATATAGTATATATTCAGGCATTCAATAAACGACTGTGTCCCATCCATAAAATATTTTTTTCTTTTTTCTTTTTTCGCAATTAATTACCGCTCGCCTCACAATTATTAATATACTCACTCATCATTATCAACACGTTGATTACGTTTTCTGTTTTGCATTAGACGCATAATGTAGAGTGTCCGGTTTAATTGAGAACGATTAAATATTTCTACAAATATGACACATAAAGGAAGAAATGTTTCAGGTGAAAATTATAAAATATCAAACGGGACAAACTGTAATCGATATTCGTTCCACCTTGAAAACTTTAGGATAGTAATCTATACCTTTAATTACAGATAATTAAAAGCACTATTTACTTTGTATCTTCTGCATAAACCATTCTCGGGATATAAATTGTGCAGGTTGAAAGTCATCGTTTAGACTTTGTACATCACGTTGACCCTAAAATGTCGGTGACATACCAATTTTAAAAGTTGACATTTTGAGAATGGCTCGTGCAAACAATAAGAGTAAATAGCATATTGAAAATATTTCGACGCCAGTTCCAATAATACGCGATAAAAAACATAGATTTTCGTTGAAAAATGTAATCGTGACATACACTGGTTTTTCTTTTTTTTTTCTTTTTTCTTTTTTCCTTTCCAAAGTTGAATAAACTCGAATACAAATTGCCCCTCTCTTAATATCCTACAACTTTCGTTTCAAACATTCTTCCATATCATCCATATTCGAAACGTATCTCCAGTTCCATTTAAACCGGATACTCAGTATATTAATTTGTATGCTCACAATCGTGAAACAGCAAAAATCACTTCTCGATTAAACTTTCATGCCTGTAGTTCTTAGACGACCATTAACAAATACATTCGACCGCCATACACACACAGAGAGACACGTGAGGTAAAACAATCCAATCTAATTGTCGATTATTAATAATAATCTCTTTAAGTCGTTAATCAAAGCAAAGAGAAAACAACAATCTTTAATCGAATAGAAGAAATTGTTTTTATACTTTTAAAAAGCGTGGAGAAGCTTCTCCTCAAATACGTAACCAAATCGCACTGACACGTACTGCTAACTGCGTGTATAATTAAACGGTAAACGATATAAAATTGGAAATTTATGTGCTTAAATGAAGAAGATAGAGCTTTTTACAATAACCTATCGAGTCACAATTACTAAATTATATTTTCTTCAGGATAGTGAGCACATGTACTTTCCTACTCTTAAAACTTTCCAAAAGCTCTAACCTTAGAATTTTGGAATTTTACGTTCACGTAACATTTGCTAAATGTTACAATTAGGAGTACATGTTCAGACAGTTTGGTTTGGTTTCAAGAAGATTCTTTGTTACATGGTCTCATAATCTTAATACATCTTCTTTGATGAAACTCGCACTACGGAATAATAATTAGTAAAATTGTATACACATCAAGTAGGAAATATTCTACAAGTAATGTAACGCACAGAAGGTACAATAGCACAGATATATCTCTCGTAAAAATCCTTTTTATTCTTTTAATAATGTGTACTCATAATTGTTAGTTTGGAAATAGTCCGCCTAGATTAATTTCAATGCAGCATACGGATAATATTGTAATAACTGTATTTATTTTTTGCGTTCGTTTTCCTTAAAAGTTCATCTATGCGGAAGTTATTGACTACAAATCGTGCAATATGAATTAAATCGTTTTTTCCTCCTTTTTTTTTTGTTAATTGTGATCTTTGCAAAATAAATACTCAACTTTCAGCTCGTAAAACTATTCTTTGCTTCGAGTGGTTAAATAATTTTATTCCTTTCTTCCTATCCTTTTGTAAAAGTAATGGAGTAAATCGAAAAGATTAGAGATGCCATCTTTCACACGCAATCAAACAACGAAATTTTTTACGCACTTATCATACCTAATGTAAAACACATTCCTCGCATAAACCGTTTATGTGCATGCATTGAAAACGTTTTCTTTTCTTTTTCCTCTATGTTCCTTCTTTTCTCTTAAGGCAAAACATTTAAAGAATTAATGGCATTTTAAATTTCGGGTAGCTGCGATCAATCTGTATGCAACTGCGATTTCACACTTATACCGTCCCATACATTCGTGGTTCCTTATATAAGAAACGAATATTACACTTATCATAAATACGTTGCATTGTTCGCTGAATAATGAAACGGCTCATTTGAAATTTCATTTGATCGATCAAGAAGACAGATTGAACATCGAGACGTGTATAAATACATACATTCGTAATTTTTAATACCGATTATAAGGAATCAGGTTAAGAAAATCAGAAAGAAAGAAAGAAAGAAAGAAAGAAAGAAAGAAAGAAAGAAAGAAAGAAAGAAGAGAGAGAGAGAGAGAGAGAGAGAAATGGTAATAAAAATACTCAAATGTAAAGATCATATTTCAGTCAATGCAACGCAAGATAAATGCACTGAAACACTGTAAGAAAAAAATTTGTATAGTTTTCTGCTGTTTCTTTAATGTTTTGTTCCGTTCGTTGCAAAACATCTGTTTTCAATAATCTTCAGAACGTAGAATAAAATTCTAAGTTTGTTTTACTAATAAGAGACATATTATGCAGTTATTTGAACAAAGAAAGGATATATATATATATATGAATATATATAAATTGAAGTTAAAACTGGGCTTTCAACTAAATCTTCTTATTGATCGTTCTCCTTTAATCTCACGGCCATAAGTATTTCGTTTCTATTAAATCACAGTTGTAAAATTCGAATAGGTCTATGATTATTGATGATTCAAATAAGATGATTGTACCGGTGACATTAACATGCATTAAGAAAAACTAGGTTCCTTCGAAACGATCCAAAAATCGAACATGTTCGTATGTCACCGGTACGTGAGCGAGAAGTCAAAATTGAAATTGATGATTTTGCACACTCAACGATCTAGAAGATTTTTTGAACTCTCACGTTCTAATGTCTTCTACGGAATTCTAGGTACGCTCTAACTCTTCGACTGATTCTCAATTACACATTTAAACACACGGCACGAAACTTTAAATAAACATAAGCACATATACGTACTCCGCTATAATAAATCTCGTTCTTCTTCTACGACACATTCACAATCATCATATATTATATATATATGCAATATATATCATCATCATCATATCATCATAATCATCACCAGCAGCATTATCACCACCATCACCATCATCATCATCATCATCATCATCATCATCATCATCATCATCACCATCAACACTATCATCAGCATTATCATTATCATTATATCATTATCATCACCATCATCATCCTCGTCATTATCATTATCATTTCAGTATATTAATTATCTTTGAATTGGTTAGACCGCACGCTTGAAATGAGATCATACAACTAGTATGCAGATGCAGATGATCGAAGCTATCCGTCCTCTTTAAAACACGCACTTGATGAATATTGTGCTAATTTCTGTATAAGCCGGTAGGAAAGTGAAAAAGAGAGAGATAGGGTTAGAAATATATTTCTTTTTTTTTTCCTTGTTTTTTGGTGTGACGTGCAAAAAGACGAAAAAGATTATTCTTTGTTTGTTACTTCTTTTTTCTCATGGAGCATACTATTTTATATGTATACGATACGTAATCATTATGATCGAATCAAATTGAATTTAAACAAAATAAAAGAAGAAAAATGTCCTATTTCTCTCTGTTCGTTCCACGTCGAAACGGACAGAAATTCTTAGAAACCGTTCCCCTCCAACGATAGAGGCTTTGGTTCTCTTTTTATAAATGAGAAAATTATTTTGTACCTACACGCACTTGCCTAGATTCTTGCCGTTGGTTATCGTTTATCAGGATCAAAGGAACGGATTCGCCGCTTTCCATGACTACACTGGGACCCTCCACGCAGCCTATTCGTACTTGAGGAAGGTGTTCGATTTCTGATCACGCTGTCCAGGATGATTCTGCCAAGCACCTTGGGATGCGTTCGGATTATTCGGGCCTGGACCACCTGTTCCAGGATTGCCAGTATTACCATCACCACCCCCTTGATTCATCCAACTGAGAAAGCCAGAGTTTCCACTGTTACCGATACTATTGTTGCCTGAAGGTGGCTGACCAGGTGGGCCAGGCTGGTTCGAATAGCCCTGATCGTTTCCCTGATTCTGCAAGTTACCGATCAGACCCCAAGATGCTTGGTTCAGTGCAGCTGCGACTAGAGCTGGGTTGACTGGTAACGCGGATAAATTCAGACCTCCCATTGCCAGTGGATTCGACATACCACCGCCGCCGCCACCGCCGTTATTTTGCCCCGTAATGCCCAATGCTTGGAGGTTAGGCATGTCCAGATTACCCCGATTCCCTGGATTGTTCCAGCCATTTGGACCCATATTGTTACCTGAGTGGCCCATGTATCTGTTACCCTGATAGTTTCCCTGCACGTTATTCTCGACGGGACCTGGGGCGCCTCTACGCATGTTCGAATTCACTTGATTATTGAAATTCTTATTGTTCCCCTCAGACTTTGGCGCGGCGTTTGACACATGTACAGACACTCCTTTAATAATGTGATCCTCGCCGCACAGGGACTGGGCTACCTCGGGATCTAAGAAAGTAACAAATGAAAATGCACGGAAAGGTTTTGGGATGAACACGTCCGTCACTTCGCCATATTTGGAGAAATAGTCGCGCAGATCATCAGCAGTTAGGTCTTCTGTACAGCGTCCCACGAATACCTTGCAGGGTACTTGCTGAATCATTCCCTCCTACGCACAAACGCACAATCAATCAATCATGTACAACAGATTTTCACAGATTTTGGAATTTTTTTGTCTTATTCAATAAAACTTGCGTACAGTGCACTTTAATGTACATATATATATACACACATGTACATATATATGTATATATATATGTATATATATGTATATGTATTTATATCGTTTATCAAAAAGACTGGTCAAGTACACGCTAACTTTATCTTTCCAAACAGCTTCATTAGGTTTCTTTATTAATTAAAAATAGTATCCTTAAAATATCTAAATCGAACATTGATTAATTTTGTTTAAGAATCAACCGAGGAGAGTAAAAATTGAACTAATCTGCACCAACGTCAAGTTTTATAGAAAACTCTTTTGATACACATGTCTAGCTAACGATTTGAGAAAAAAAGGTATCGCCTTGTCAATTTACAGTTCTTTTTTTCTTTTTCTTTTTTTTTAAATCTCCATGAATGAATATATGTAAATATATACACTTAAGCACTATGGCCTCTTTAAAATTCATGCACAAAATTCGTACAATGTCCTTTTTCTTTGTATGTATTCGATGTAAAATTTCATGCTATGTATATTACATTATCTTAAACTGAATAAGCACAACAGTTGATGATAAGATGTAGACAGTTCTTCGAAACTATTGCTAATATTAGACAACATATTTTTTTACTTTTTTTCTTTTGTTTTTTTTTTCTTTTTTTCTTTTTTTCTTTTTGTTTTGGTATTTGCAACAGAAATCACGAGTCAAGGGGAATAATATGTCCTTTACATTTCTATAATCAATACCATATGACTATTTTTTGACTCAGTAACAGAAATTCAACAAATTCGCTTCTCAATCGAGATACATTCTTCGTTATTTTTCTCCTATTAAAGAATTACATATGCTCGACATTGTTACTTACATAGGTGATTAAGAAATATGATAATTAATTTTCAATCGATAATACGAGTATGCGTACTATTAATTGGAAAAATTATTCGAATTGAGCAACACGCTATAGACCAAGAGAAAAAAGACTAAAAAGAAAATAGGAAAGACATATGAGGTACAGAGCAATTACGAGTTAAACAAATTATACAAAATTGTCAGCATACACATTGTCAACCTCTACATCACCTGAAGGTACCTCGTACAAAATCAACTGAGTCTTAGCAAGCTTCAACCACGAAAGTACCTATTCCCGTTGAAGCGTGACATATGTATTTAACGATAGTAACAAGACTCATCAGTATCTTGACGTATCCGAGACATGGTGATCCCTCGATGGACGATGCTTGTAATAACGGTCATAATAGTTCTCTTTAGTTGGATATCTTGCTGTATCCACAAACCTGGCGTCCACTTCCTTTGCGTCCGGTGGATATCTGGCGTCTACTTCTCTGTTCTCGACAGCATATCTACCATCTGGATCCCTACCATCGACCGCATATCTTCTATCCATATCACGATTGTCCACCGGATATCTACAATCAGCCTCTCTACTATCAGCCGGAATTCGATTGTCCGGGTGTCTGGTATCTGGATACCGAACATCCAGTGTGTATCTACAGTCCGTAGAAGCGTAACGACCGTCTGCCTCGTAATAATTTCGATCGTATCCATAATTGTATCTGGCTTTTTCCGTGTAGTCCGGATTTTCCATCACCGGATACACGGCACGTCCTTCGTAGTTGGTGTATCTTGTGTACTCCGGGTCGGACGGGTAGGTGGTGGGATTCGAGGGCGCTGCGGTTGTATGTTGAACCATATAATTACGTGTGTCGTACCCAGGATCCTCATAGGATGGGTAACTCGGTTTCTCATACGCATTATAGTTCTGGCCCTCGTATTTGTATTTATTGTTATCATCGTACGGATAATTGGGAGGGTACGACGGATAATGCGTGGTTTTATAATCGTACTCCGAATCGTACCTAGGTGTATTAGCAGCTTCGGATGTATTTAAGTTGATATACGGTTTCGCCACAGGTACCCGTCGACTACTCGGCGTATGAACCGGTATAGGGCGGTAGCATTCATTGTGTTTGCTCGTATCATACTGACGAGCCATCATTAAGCCATCAATATTCTGCAACCAGATACACCAGCCCTCGACAATCACATACAATTTTTATCTATTATAATTGGTTGAATTACACACATATACGTACTCTCGCTCATTTATCGCACTTTTAACATACCTTTTTTCTATATCCCTTTCTTTCGATTGCTTTATCTTTTTTATGACGTATCATACCACATACCAATTATAAAATTTAGAACCTAACATTTAACACGCGCTAATAAGAGATCTTTGTGATAAGAACGTCATGACTTCAAGCATCATGCGTCTTCCATTCATCTACGAACTGTACACTCTATTTATTCGTATGTTGCCATTACCATTTTACAACTATGCAGTAAATCGATTGTAAAATCAACATATTGAAAAATTCTATTTTGTTATTTACTGATATTTTATAGGTAAATCTAATTACGACCTGGAAATATATTTCTCTTCGCAAAATTCAGTGCTCACTTCAAGGAATATGACAATTTGTTACGTTACACATCACACGTGGATCATGATTTTCGATTGCACACACTGTCACGCAAGCCATACCCATTACAATATTTAGCATTTTCAAAAAATTATACATTTAACCAGTGCTCGACTGTTTATCATTTTAAATTCACTCCCAGTATATTACATATGTTTTAACGCGAAAAAAGTAAATCACTTTAAATCTTGTTCTATAAGTGCAACAATATTTTATTTAAACATCTCTAACAAGTTAACGATTGCACGATACATAGAATTCTTTGAAAATTTCGCACGAAAAAGTCGAATTTGTAAATGGGCAGTTCTGCCTTTTGCAACTAATCTGTCCAACTTTTGCATAAATTAAGTGGGTATGTATTCTCAAGGTATTATATCTATTTTTAAAAAACTCTGACAGTGTCTCTACTTTTCATAGCATACTCAAAAAGTTTCCACACTATTTAAAGAGAACACAAACATACTAATGTTATTTACAGGAGCACGCAAGCATACTTTCTTGAAGTATCTCACTTTGCATCGTACAACACTCATATAAAAACATTCACACGCATTAACACATTTCCTTTATAAATATGCCACTTAATTCGACTACACATTCATCTATTTATACCACAGTATACTGTCTCCTCAAGAGATGTATATATAAAAGATGATATTCAAAAATTATAAGCGGAAATCAATTATGTCTTATATATATTGTGCAATGATTCAGGATAGAGAAAAGAATTTATAAAGCAAAGTATTCTATCCACATCTGTGCCATTATCAGGCTTCTTAATCATTCTTTTAACTTTCTTATAAATCGTGCTGTTGTTTATGGTTCAACTAATATATTATAGTGTGTATCAAAGATCTATACAAGATATATATTGAAAGATGATTTAAAAGAAGTATATATATACTTCCCTTTGTAAATAATATTTTATTCCTTATTTAATTAAGGATATTTTTGTTTTTAAAATTTCAGGTGTAAAACCTCTTTTTCATGATATGCATCATTTTATTAAATTTTCCAAGGTTTTAAGTAACAAAAGAGTATTATATGGTAATTTCATATATAATACTTGTGATAGAAAAATCCGACTAAGAAAATTATATTTCTCAAACAATCGTTTATGAAAATTATATTACAATAATCAATCGAATAATGCAAAATATCTTTACAGACCTATGATTTACACACAAATATCCTATATATGCATTTTGATATTAGATAACTGTTAAATAATTAGATAGTTCATAGATACTTGAAGATATGTGAAAAACAATTAATATTTGTCAATGAACATAATAATGTTCTTACCTTACTGTTGGGAACCTTGACATCACACCATCGTCCATCAATCATATGCCGCTGAGCAAGACATCTTAACTGAGACTCATAACTTCCAAATCTAATAAAGCCAAATCCTTTGCTTTGTCCTGACTTTGCATCTTTTTTAACCTATAACAATGTTATAAATTTGTATCATGTAGGTTTCATGTATCACAACAATACAATTTCTGTATTATACAATTTCATAATTAAACAATTTCTATAACGTAATAATTCAATAAGACAATTAACATGTTGAATGCCAAAGAGATCACTGGTAATTCAGGTTATTAGGGATGCCATACATATCATTGATAATGCCAAAGTTACTGAAAGCACTTAATTTAAATGAATACTAACATTTGTAAAATTTTTAAAATTTTCCTTGTTATTAAATTATGTATATATGTTATAATATAAACATATTACAATTATATAAAATAACTAATATATTAGTGAACATATTTAAATAATTTTATTTTTAACTGCAAACATATTATTTGCACATATGTTAATGCTATAACAAAAAACTCATTTTGACATTGTAAACAAGTTACATAAAGTTGGTCCAGCATTCAACATGTTAAAACAATTATATAATTCAAATAGAATTTTAATGAAATATTCTATATTAGTTCAAAAATTTTAATGCATTGTTTTAAATAATTATTTTTGTACAATATTAGGAGAAAATCAAAAGAAAGAGAAAAAATTCAAATTGTAGTAAATTGAGAAACTCACCTGAGCCATGAGTACTTCGCCAAATGTTTCAAAGTACTCTCGCAAGTTTTGTTCAGTTGTTTTCCATGGTAAACCAAGTACGATCAAGTCTGTGCAACGCAACTTTGTTTCCATTCTTTTAGTCTTAGCTGTGGAATTTTCCAAATTGTCATCAGATTTACGTTTGTTCTCTGAAAAGATATAAGTGTTCATGTCTACTAACTTTTTCATTTTACTAAAATTGCTTCCAAAAAAATTTGAGTCTTAAAACAAGATTCTATCTGTATATATAATTTACTATCAAATAGAAAAATAAATACAACTGCAATAAAAATAAAGATAATAAAAAAACAGAAGTATAGAAATCCAGTACAAATAATTATATTTTAAGAAATATAAAAAGTTGTGTATCATATTGTGTACACGTATAGCTTTCTCTCTCACTCTATACGCGCGCGCACGTGTGTTGTGTGTGTGCTTAGTGTATATGTGTGTGCGCGCGCGTGCAATACATACATTATATTATTACATTCTTATTAAGCACTCGAGTTCACATACATATGAAATTATACATATATAAGCCCACACAACTATAAACAAATTTTAGTTCTTATAAATAGGTGGATGTTTATAGATGTTATTAAAATTACAAGATAAAAATATCATTATATAAACTTATTTATAATCCAGATCTATGAATGTTAATTCATTCAATCGAATATTAACATGTGCTTATGTTAATATTACGAGATATGATCAAAGATCGAAGTTAAATGTAATTATTTAATAGGGAAATTATACATTGGAAAAAGAAAATTTGTATATTTTTATAATAAAGTAACAAAGAATAAATTGGTTAATATAAAAAAAAAAGAGAGAAAAAGGAAAAAAAAGGAGAGAGAATTGATTCGAAAGTTCAACACATAACAAACATAAACACATGTACTGGACTTCAAAAA